CTGATATACTGTTTGTAGTTGTTAGAATAGCAATTTATTAATTGTTACTTTACATTTTTATAGTTTTTTAGTAAAAAAAATGATTAATAAATTTATTGAATTCTTCTATTTATTAAGTGTCCATTCCATAAAATAAAAGTATGGAAGTTTTTTGTATTTCCCCACTTCAAAAGATTTGATAAGTGGTGGTGCTATTAAAAATAGATAGTTTAGTGTTAAACATATTCTTTCTTTATCCAAACTTTCAACAGTATTTTCTATCACTTTAAACAACTCCATTGGCAACTCATCTGATAATATTTCACTATATCCATAGGTTTGATAGTAGTCATATGAGGAAAGTTCCATTAACTTAGGAATGGTTAATTTGTTAAGTATTTTGATAGCATCTAATATAAAATTACACTTCCCACCTGCCACGTCAACCCCAAGATCATATGGATCAATAAACATTACAAATGGTTTATCAAATAAACATTCTATCTCTTTGTATTGTTTTAAATTAAAATCAATCATTAGTGTTTTATCATTAACTTTTACATTTCCATTGTTTATATTTAATTCTATGTAATTTTTAAGATTAGCTGTTGGTTTAGTTAAATTTTCTCTGGGATTAAACAACTCAAAGATATGTTTTATCAGAATTAAACTGTTGATTTTATCTGAAAAAATCTTCATCTTAGAGTAACAAAGGTTACTCTCAAGTATCATTTTCAACATCAAATTACAATTAGCTATTATTTTGTCTCTTCTGTATTCAACATATACATCCAAATTATTAATGTTACATGAATAATCTACATTTTTAGTATATGTATTTATTAACTCTTTGTTTTCATCTAAATATTCGCTTAACTTAGTTTCTAATCTTTCTTTTTGTTCACATAAAAAATCTCTTCTATCTTTTATCTCTTCTATTTTCATTCGAAATGTTTTAAATTTCAAAATTTTAAAATTAAGTAGTTAATTTATATTAAACATGCTTTATTGAAAGGTATTTGATTTATAAAATTACATCATGTCTGTTTATTTCAAATAATTTCTTATGCAAATTTTAATTTATATTAAAATTATATTTGTATGTTTTAATAAACAAATATATTAAAAGAACTTACCTTCTAAATTAATCAATGACGTTTTTATTTTAAAGATTTTTAAAATTAATTTCTTAATTTAAAGTGTATAAATAAAAAAATTAAATTATTTTTTATGATAAGAAATATAAACATCAATGAGTCGGTATTTAATTCTTTGGGATTAAATTTTGAAGGTTATTACAATTATGGTACAGCAGGGTTTAGATTAAATGATATTAACATAATACCGGTAATAAAGAAAACTGCCATTATAGCTTGGTTATTATCAGCAACATCAGGTTTTAATACAGGTATTATGATAACAGCTAGTCATAACACTGCTGATTATAATGGTGTAAAGATAGTAGGGTTTGATGGGAAGGGAATACCTTCTGAATATGAAGAAATGGTTGAAAAAATAGTAAACTCTGATTATGAAAAATTTAAAGAGTATATTAAAGGTTCAAGAATAAAATTTTTAGATACAAAAGTATTAATAGGTAGAGATACGAGAGAGAGTGGAATAAGATGTGTATATGAAATTATGGAAATGTTTGATAAGATTTTTGATTGTAATTACGAATACTTAGATGTTGTTACCACACCTCAATTACAATATGAAGTACATAGATCAAATATAGAAAATAGATCAAATATA